CCGCAAAGAAGCCAGTTGCAAAGAAGCCCACGGCAAAGAAGCCAGCGGCAAAGAAGCCAGCGGCAAAGAAGCCCGCAGTGAAGCAACCACAGAAGGGCGATGCGACCCGTATCACGCTCAAGCAGAAGAACCCGAAGCAGCTCGGGTGCAAGTCGCACCAGCGCTACGAGAAGTACAAGGCCGCGACGACCAAGGGCGAGTTCCGCAAGCTCGGTGGCTCGTCCGCCGACTACACCCATGACCTCAAGCACAAGTTCATCACGGAGCTTTAGCGCTGAGCTTTAGGGGTTGTAAATGTGTTATGGTGTGGTTTATGGAGACCAGCCGTCCTCGCGAGCGGCCTGCGCGCCGCTCCTGCGCGCCTCGACGGTAGGCCGTCTTCTCTTGTGGAATTTGCAACTGGGAGTTTCTCCGGTTCTAGGCTTGCCGCAGACTTCTCCAAATAGATGAGGGGTCGCTGGCAGGGCCGTATCGTTGTGGCCGAACATCAACAGCACGTTTTACTCCTTCTTCCCACTCTACTACTGAGATATTTTTGGGATCAACTTCGAGGCCTGGAGTAGTCTCTGAGAACATCTTGTGTGGTTTCCCGCGTATCACTTTCAGTTTCGTGTTCCATCCGCCCTCTCTGTTTCTGAGGTTGATGTAATCGCCATGCTTTGGATGCCTATAGCCAGCAGGGACTGATTCCGGTTGCGGAGACCCAGGAGAAAAGATGGTCTCAGTAGATTCTGGAGACTTTGGAGTCTCAACAAAGGGGGACTCCGAGTTCCTGATCCGATAAAAGTTAAACATGCGAGTTAATCTCTTTTCAGCAGACTCGAGGAAGTCGGACCCAGATGGTGGCGACATTCTCTGTGATTCTGATATCTCTTCTGTCACAGGAGTAGAGAAAGGAGTGTGTCTAATTCTCGGAGGAGTCACGTCCTGGAACGTTAACTTCTTTTGGAAGGGACGATGTTGACTGGGACTCCCAATTGGGTGAGAAGGAGGACTCTCGCGAGTTGGTGGAGGTTCAGGTTCCTGAACAGGATTGGT